TAGGTTTGCTCGCGCAATATCCATATTCTAGGAAAGACGAAAAAGCCGTAAACAGTACAAATAGATAACTTTGGAAACATATAATCCGTAATTAACATTATTTCGTAGAGGACGCCCGAAATGACGTCAGGTGTACGCGACTATGTACCATTTTTATACTAAAAATGCCATAGGAGTGATCTATTAGGAATACCGACGAAATACGTCGATGGACAAGTGTCCATCAGATGAACACCAGCCGAGAAGACGAGCACCAGCAGAGCAGCCACCAAGTCGATACTAAGTCACATCTCGTTTACCACATTATTATAAATTAATTATCTGGACTTAGACTATTTTACGTGTTTAAATAATTACAAATAAACTATCATTATACCATCAACTTGTCATTTTATTCAAAATACAATCAAAACTGAGTTGAAGTGGTTGGCACGTTACACACGTGAAAGCGCAAAACCAACCCGCCGATTAAGTTTTCGTTAATAATGTAATATTTTATTGTAATATGACATTTTATTATGTAATTTTCATATTGTTGTCAATCATTTATGAGACTTTAGATTTAATAACGCCAACCGATAATGTAATATTTTCAAATAATCAAATTGCAAACTCCAACTGTACAGTAATTTTAAACGTAGATTTCAGTCAAAATTTACATGATAAAACAATTTGTTATATTTGTTTAATTTCTAGTTCAGTATATACGTTTGAAAGAGGAATAGTTGATGAAAGTTTTTAAATATATTAAAATTAAGTAAAAAATCGTTCCCTACTTTAATTTTTCAAGATATTTTATCTTGAAAAAATTAACAAAAATCAAAAGCTTTTCATATTTATTTTTTTATTAGATCAAGAACACCAATAAATTCTTCATCAAAATTAACAATATAACCTTTCAAATCTAAAATATTAATTGTAATTTGTTGAAACCGATTTTTACTCACTGGTCTATATATAATTTTAAAAGGTTTATTCAAAACATTATAAGAAATATATTAAAATAAAAATAAAACTTCATCATAATGAGATACCTCATCAATATAATGTGTAGTAGATTCTTCAATTATATTACAATGTACTTCTAATATTTTGTTGTTATTATTTAATGATGAATTTTCTCCATAATGTGTATATCAATCCCTCCTAAACTTAAATTTAAATCTTTATCAAATGAAAAATAATCTTTTGTTGTTATTTTAATGTAATTACCATTATTTTCCAACTTCATAATCGAATTGAATAATTTCCTTTTAATTCAGTTTTTTTCATTAGAAATAATAACTTTAATATTTTTTATAAAACCTTGTGTATAAATCATTGCTTTGTTTGTACCTATTATTTTATAAAAAATATCTGGTGCTAGTTCGTATGAAACAGGCCATATTTTATTTATAGGGTTTGCTTGTGTTATAAAATCTCCAATATAATCAAAACCTAAACATTTTGATAAATATTCATCAAAACATAGACCGATTGAGGCTGAAATATTTATAAAACCATCAATAATTTAAGACTTATTTTAAGAAAATGTTCTATATTTATATAATTTTCATTAGAATTGGGATGATAAATTATTGGTTTACTACTAACTATTGAAAAATCAAATTCACTGTTTTCGAAACCTAAATATTTTTTTAAATTTTCATCTAAATTATAATAACAAGGAGATTTAAATGTAATTCTATTAGTTTCATCAGAAAATGATATAATAAGTGGTTATATTTCTTTGTTCAATTGTTCAATACCATATCTACCTGTTTTTATTTGTATTATATTCTGTTTAATTTTTATACAACAGTCTGATTCAATATTAATAAAATCTTTGCCTTTCAAAACTATTGAATAGAGACCTAAAAAATGATCACCATCATTATTGTGAATAGGTTTGTTTAAATGAATACAACCCTTTTTAACTTTTAAAAATACCATTTATAAAAGTAAATTTATTTTTTATTCAAAATTAATATATATTATGCCATGTTTTCCCATTCTTTACATTTTTTTCACCATTATAAATAAGATTCAATCATGTTTCCGAACTTGTGTTATACCATGTTATTTCATATTCTGTTTTTTAATTTGTATATCTATCAGGAAATTTAAAATATATTCATAATTTAATACAACAGCTCATCTTTTTCCAAACTTTGTATCAATCTTTATGAACCTATTTATTTTGTATGGTTTTCCTTGATCCAAATCATTAAATTTTATAAATGTATATCCATTGTTGATTTTATTTAAACCATCTTTAAAGTTTTCCATTTAAATTTCTTATTTATATTAGAAAATATAAATTTTTTATTTTCAATATTTTTTTAAAATATTTCTACTTAAAATTTTTTTTTCAATATAAATATAAAAAATGAGCGAAACTTTATATTGACTTAAAAGTAAAATTCAAACAAAAAATATAAATGCAACTAAAATTCAAACAGTTAATGGTAGATTTAGAATTTCATCAAAATGTTTCAAGTGTAACACAAATAAAAGTAAATTTATAAAAAAATCCTACAATTGGACATAATATTTCCAATAAAAAATTAAATGATAAAGATAAAATGATATTAGCTAAAGAACTTCATAAACCAGTTAGAAAAAAATTTCCTAAACGAAGAATAATTACTAAAGGTATAGATGATTTATGGGCTGCTGATTTAGTTATAATGAGAAATTATTCTGATGAAAATGAGGGTTATTCTTTTATATTAACTGTTATAGATACATTATCAAAATTTTCTTGGGCTTTAGAACTCAAAAAGAAAGATGGAATCAATGTTTCAGAAGCATTTGAAAAATAACAAAACAAGCTATATCACAAAATCATCAAGCACCAAAATTACTTCATGCAGATAAAGGTTTGGAATTTGAAAATGAATATTTTAAAAAAGTTTTGCAAGAATATGAAATTAAAATGTATCACACCCAAAATAAAGAAAAATCATCAATTATTGAAAGATTTAATAGAACATTATACAGTCAAATGAGATTACAATTTGAAGTTACAAATTCTAAAAAATGGATTAAAATTGTACAAAGCTTAATAGATGAATATAATTTCAAAGACATACATCGATCTATTGGTATGAGACCTTGTGAAGTAAATAAATCTAACGAAGATGTTGTTTTTCACAAATTATTTTCTACAAAAAACAAACCTAAACCAAAAATTAAATTTAGTGTAGGTGATAGAGTAAGAATAACAGCTTCTAAAAAAACATTTGGTAATAAATTTATTAATAATTGGACAAAAGAAATATTTATAGTTAATGAAATTTTAAACACAAATCCTATTACCTATAAATTTATAGATTTAAACAAAGAAGAGATTATAGGGAGTTTTTATAACCAAGAGTTACAAAAAACAAAATTTTAAATGATATTTTTAATAGAAATTATTCTATTAAAAAAAAATGAAAGTAAAAAATAATAATATTTTCTATAATAAAGAATGGAAGGATTAAATAAAATTGAATCTTTAGTTAAAGAAATTGATATCAATAATGAAATGGATGTATTAAATAAAAAAATATATCCTGCTAAAACTTGAGGTAAATGTAACTTAACAGTTGGTTGGAAAAATTGGTCTGCTCATTTGAAATCTATTCGCCATCAAAAAAATGATATAGATCAAACAATTGTACCTTTTAGATTTAATAAAACATACAAAGGTATACCAATTAACCAAGAAAAACAAAAAAAATATAACTTTTTGAAATTAATACAAAATAGTATAAAAAAAAAAAGTATAAAAAAAAATAATTGTTATGTGAAATGTTGTGCTTTTGAATACTATGAAAATTCAAGAATGTTAAATATAATCTAAATAAAATTCCAATTGATGGAAATATTTTCATTATTAGTCAAGGAGATGTTGATTTTGGAAATGGAAATACTTATATTTCTAAACTATTACACTCACCAGCTTGGTTAGAACTTTGTAAAATAGCTAATGATTTAATTATTGCAACAGGTGATTATAATCACTATTATCTAGATGATATTATTAAGATTGTTCAAGATTTAGGAAATATTAAAATGTGTGAATTTAGTATGGGTTCTTAATATTATTTAAATGTTATTTTTTATAAAAAATTTTTTTATTGAAAAATTGAATCTCAAAAAAAAATAATAAATTCTATAATAAATGGAACGTATAAATAAAATGGATAACAAAACTTGTGATAAATGTAACTTAACAGTTAGTTACAAAAATTGGTCTAGACATTTGAAATCTATTCGTCATCAAAACAATGATGCAGATCAAACAATTATGCCTCGATTTAGAGGAACACACAGGGGTACAACAACAACAAATATAAGAACAAGACAAGAGAGAATACAAAACCTTCAGATAAAACTTGTGATATTTGTAAGTTAACAGTTAAATACAACAGTTGGTCTAAACATTTGCAGTCTATTCGTCATCAAAATAATGGTGTAAGACCAATAATATCAAGAGAGATAATACCCAAACCACATAGAGTTTTCAATTTTAGTGAAAAAATTATAGAAAAAAGCAACACTATTCGACCTATTTTAAAAAATGAAGAAACCGCATTTCAAAGTAGATTGAAAACTTTTATTATTAAAAATATATTATTTTAAAGATATACAAATATATTTAAATCGTTTAGATAATCCAGTAATAGGACGACTTAAACAAGAATTTAAAAAAACAAATTTAAAAGTAAATATTTGGTTTCTTGCTATATATAAGAGAGGGAGGTAATGATGAAGGAAACATGGAATATATGGAAAACAATTTTAAAACAAAAAATATAAATTTAACAAAAAATTCTAACTTAAATGAATTTTATACAAAAGCAAAAATTAAAATTGTAAATGAAGCAGAAGATTTTATAAACAAAGATTCTCAATGGATACTTCATCAAATTTTAAGTTTGGGAATAAATATAAGTAAATATGTTCGTTTTAAAGGATCTTCATATATTCCATTACCTAAACATATTAAAGATAAACATGCTATTATAAAATTAATTAATTAATGATAGAATTTCTGTAGAGTTGGTATTTGAACATTTCAAAATGGTACGAGCATCCACTGAAAAACTATTAAAACACTTGTGGGATTTCAAATTTTTTAACAATGCAGAGAGAGCCATATTTGTAATATTAAAGTTTACTGCCCACTGAGCTAAAGATTTTAAAATGAGCTCTGCATCATTATTAAAAAAATTAATACCTACTGTTTCTTCATCACTGGTATTATAACTATCAGGTTTAGTATCAAGTACTTCTAAATCTAAATCATTAACTTGAAAATTAGAATTATTGTTATCAGAAACTTGAATAATATGGCTGGATGTATCTAGATGCTCTTCTAATATATTTACTTGGTGGGTGGAAGGTTGAGTTTCTGGGGGTGCTGAAGATGGATTTTCCTTAAAAAGATCAATTACTTCAACCTCCTCAAGAAACCTTCTCCGTTTAGTTGATCTACTCAAATATTGATTATGAGTCATATTTAAAAAAATATTCAAAATAGTCTTGTTAATGTTTGCGACAATAATGGGTAGCCTTACAATCTATATACCTAACAGTTGCTTAATACGATTTGCGACCTAAGGGTGACTCATAAAAGTGAACAATGTATAGATAAATGTAAAAATAATAATGCAAATATCATGGTACCTATATGAATAATACACAATGAAACTGTTCTTATTGAGCGCCTAGTAACTAAATATCTAAATAAAAATAATAATAGACTACAATAAACAAAAATCGATATATGCCTACTGCCTAGTAATTAATACATATAAAAAAACATAACAAAAATCAAAATTGACCTGCCTGACTACACTGCTCAACTGGGGCACACGGGAGTAGACAGAATAATAGATGACAATGAGTGTTGAATTATTTGATGCAGCTACTGCTACTGGTGAGTGACAAATGTACAGTTGGCAGATGGTTTAGACCAATTCAACGAGGCATTAGATATTAGACTATACGGCGAATTCTACAACTCGGGCAACAGACAAATGACAACACCAACAAGTAAACCTACAACAAACAAGTGTAAAAAAAGGCAAAATATTGTTATATCTGCAGATATACTTACCGGATCACCAAATAATAGCTATTAAGGTATATTATGGTGTCACAGACTAAACGGGAAACGCAGCCTCGATGGGCAACAAACGTCGTCGCTGGCTCACTATTCAATACACGGAACGACGGAACACGTACGGGAAAGACCAGGCAAGTAACAGCGGCCAAGATATATCAAAAATGGCGGCACACACGGCACACGGCTACAACTCGGGCAAATGACAAGCAAGAATACCAAAAAATGTACCTACAACAAACGAGTGTATAAAAAGACAAAATATTGTTATATCTGCAGATATACTTACCGGATCACCAAATAATAGCTATTAAGGTATATTATGGTGTCACAGACTAAACGGGAAACGCAGCATCGATGGGCAACAAACGTCGTCGCTGGCTCACTATTCAATACACGGAACGACGGAACACGTACGGGAAAGACCAGGCAAGTAACAGCGGCCAAGATATATCAAAAATGGCGGCACACGGCTACAACTCGGGCAACTGACAAATGACAACACCAACAAGTAAACCTACAACAAACAAGTGTAAAAAAAGGCAAAATATTGTTATATCTGCAGATATACTTACCGGATCACCAAATAATAGCTCTTAAGGTATATTATGGTGTCACAGCCTAAACGGGAAACGCAGCCTCGATGGGCAATAAACGTCGTCGCTGGCTCGGTATTCAATACACAGAACGACGGAACACGTACGGGAAAGACCAGGCAAGTAACAGCGGCCAAGATATATCAAAAATGGCGGCACACACGGCACACGGCTACAACTCGGGCAACTGACAAGCAAGAATACCAAAAAGTGTACCTACAACAAACGAGTGTAAAAAAAGACAAAATGTTGTTATATCTGCAGATATAACACTACTTCAATAAGTACGCGACGGACGTAACGGACGTGAATAATAATTATGTTTAAGACATAAGTACAATAACTGTATAAGTACGCAGTTCCACACCACTCGGAATGTCGTAAACGAAAGAAAGACACATGGCTTAAATAGCCATTTTATTTTTTTTTCTAACCAATAACCATATATTTTGAACCATGGAAAGACACAAATAACAATCCCAACGGCCAACGACAGCGGTTGGCGAGCCAGGCTGCCAGACACAACGGCTCGACCAGGGCGAATAAATATATAATTTTTGCGTCGCGTCGATTACGCACACTGGTTGACAGCTTTTAGACTGCGGCTATAATATCCGCGTTAATAACAGTTACAAATTACAATTAAAATTCTCAAAAACATTTGTACTCAATACAATTTAATATAAAATATTATAGGTATCTAATTAACATAATAACTTAAAATTAAAACCATATGGAACATAATATTATGACCTTATACTCCATAGTAACTACTGTCTAGTGTCTACTAAATTGTATGCAGTAGCGTATGTGAAATAGGGAATCGGAAACAAGCTGACCCCGCGTAGCGTATCCCGCCTATGTTCCGGGAAACAGTTTTTCAATACGGGTATAACATCATATTGGTGTACGGAAACAGTTTCATTGTTTGAACTTCAGATCATAGGTAAACACTTCACCCATCAGGTATTCAGGTGATCGAGTTTCGCTTCTATATCGCTTCTATATTCTTGTCTATGCTATATTGTTCTATGATCAAACGTCAATAATCATTAATCGGTGCGTCGTGCGTCGTCGTGCCGCGATTACCGATAATACCGATACAACTTTACTAACGTCTGACAATATTCTTGGGCCATGGCATTCATGCTATATACTTGTATCATGATTTATGATCTCATGTTGATGAGCGACTGGAACCATGTGATAAGGCCCTGCTTGTGTGTAGGGGAGCAAATTCTTCCACTATAGAACGTGCGTCAAAGTACAGAGTACGAACCTCCGCTTCCAGAGTAACAGAATATTCTGAGGCTAAGTCCAAATCTAGTAACGCATTCAAAACCGCATCATTATGTCGAAGAAATGTATCCCATAGGGAGTCTAGGTCACCGGCTGCAGTTAATAATTTGGGCTTCAACTCGGACGCATCCCTCACTCGGGACGCCATGTCAGCTATGGCCTTCATACGGTTCAACGTGCTATCGCGATTTAGCATCGCGATGGTCTTCGCCCTATGTAACACTCGACGCTCGCGCTCCATGGCCTCTTTCTCTGACCCGGTCATTCTCGCTCAAATTACCGAGGACGACAGGAAGAGATCCAATATAACAATAAGTGCAGATGTACGACTACCTAAATCAGCACCTGACACAACAACACCTGCGTGACGAACGGTATAGGTCAATATAGTTCCTAGGAGGACGAGACTAATCCTTGCACTACAACAATACTAACATGTAATGTATGTAGACAACGGGTCGTATTACTACCTACCTAACGTTTTCGTGCTATGCCTACTGACAGCAATATACGAAATACACAAGTACACAACCTAGAATAATAATAATCGACAGATAGGTCGCTACACCAGCTAATAGACAATAATGTTAATCACAATACCTCTATTATAATGGACTTGACGCGCACAACACGCGTACCTATTATACTACGTTACAGCTTAAGCAGCACTGCGGCTTAGGAACAAAACAATGTCACACCCGAAAAGCAAATCGAGTATACCCGTAATTGCATACACCCAGAAACGCTAACAAACTTTAAATTGTGGAGAAACCACGCTCTGCTACCAATGTTTTGGCACCGTCGGGCTCCTACGGAACCGGCGGTCGGCCTAACGATTCGGGTGACGAGAGTATAGGGAACAAGGTAACACCGTTAAATCCCGTTTATATATATAAGAATAACACTGAATGCTGTGTAGTAACTAAACATGTGCCTGTAGCACTATAATATAATATCAATAAAAAAGACCCTTTAAGAGTACGGCAGTATAAAAGCTGGCGGAGACGTCTCCCCGTCTCAGCATACAATAATTATAAGTGATTAGCTCACACTATAGTCGCGGCAACGAAAAATGAGCGCTGACCGTCATGCGCCAAGCGGCAGTTTATTAGTAGTGGTTATTAATCTTTGAAACGAAAAGCCCTACAGCGCGTAGCAGCAGTGCAGCACGACAGCTGCACTATGTTGAGAATCATTGGCCGTAAGAGTGGGTAAAAGCAACGGGTCGCGGTACCAACGCTCATTTTTCGTTGCCGCGACTATAGAGCGCAATCATAATAACAATAACAAAATATAATAATAATCGACAACGATACCAGCGACGACGACGATGGATGCGCGGAGTGGAGTGGCGGCAGCTGATACGGCGGCGGCAGTGTGTTGCTGAATTGATAACGCACGGCGACGACGGAGACGACCTTGGCCTACAGTCGAACTATTTGAGTCGCGGCGGCGGCGGCTGAAACGGCTGTGTACGGAGACGTGTTCGGCGGCAGCGGTGACGATAATGGTCGCTAAGGCGTGCAAAACCGAACGGCACTTTCGGTCAGCAAGGTACACGACGGCCCGAGTTGAGGCCTACAGACGTACACCCGTGTAGTCGTTGGTCGCACAAAGATTTCCAGCGAAGGCACCACAATTAACTTATGACTTAAACAGTGCGGCGGAAACGCACAAAAGACGTGAGCTCAACCGCCCGCTCTACGAAGCACTAAAGTAATAGACAGGTTGCGCGAGCGCACAGCTTGCATTCAACGGCGGCGGCTCGTATCGGTGTTTATACGCCACCGGCGCGCGCACCCGGTACGGCTGGTCAAGCCGGGTATACACGCAATGACGCTGAGTTTCGAACAATTTAAATTTTAATACAGGTGCCGAGCTCATGAACAGAATGCTTATATGCGTCCGGGATTTGAAGGTGTAACGGGACAAAACGGATGACCTACACGAACAACTCGTGCTCCCTAGTAGTGGCCGGTTGCGCCAACAACAATACCGTAGTACCTACCAGCCATAGTAGGTACACTTTAAGTTAAACAACGTTATATTAATGTATAATGACTTATTATGTTTGATTCATCATCTGTCAGTATTAAGTAACACACAATAACATACTAATCGATGATTGAAAGCATATTAAAGGTAAAATGATTACATCGTGAATGATAATATGTCAGTATAGAGTGCAGGCCGCGAGCTCCTCTTCACGACGACACAACATTTTAGGACGTTGCTTAAAAACTACAACACAACTTGACAATCTAATGAATGTACTAATTAATATACACGATTCTGAGATGAATTGTTGTACACCAACACCCGCCACGATGCCGCAAACGTGAGAAAAACAAGCTAACGGCACCTATTAGTAACCGCTAATCTGCCTGTTATCTACAGTTCACGAACCACAGATATACCGGTCGTAGACACGCCGCCGGCACCAGTTCGACCAATTCGACTGATTCACCGACAGTCGCCTATTCGATTTATTGGCAGTTCAACTTAATCGTCGCTGCCTAGAGGATCCCGCCGCGGAGTCCTCGCACTTGATATCATTTTCTCTCCTTACCCGGCAGCGTGAGTAGTGTTACGGTTCGCCCGTACTGATCAGGCTACTCACTCACGGTATAGGGGAGGAAAAAAACTCTCCACATCCCGCTGTGACCGGTGAAATTAACTCCCGGTGATTTTTACTGGGGGGAGTAATAATCGCCGGGAGTAATTATTTCCTAAGCTAGCAGGCGATGATTACTCCCTATATATTTTAACTCCACTTTATCTGGGGAGTAATAATCGCCGGGAGTAATTAATTCCTAAGCTAGCAGGCGATTATTACTCCCTATATATTTTAACTCCACTTTATCTAGATGATAATTTTAGTAAATATTAATCGTTTTAGTTGTCACTATAGCACGATTTTATACATAACTAGCTTTAAGTATTACCTGCAGGCGTTGCCCTGGGATAAATGACACAGAGATGAACAATCCACCTTGTTAACTTTTTTTCCTACATGAACCAATTGCGAGCACAAAATAAATGAATATGTGTTTATGAGACTAATTAGATATAAACAAAATAATTTACATATAATATTATTATATTAAACTAGCTGATCCCGTGCACTTCGTTGCCCGTTAAATGTACCAACTCTATATGACTCAAACTTTATTCAACTCGTTATTTAATATTCGATGTATCTATGGTATACATCCTATGGTGTTTAAAATTTATCTTAACTTTTCCGTTGTCCGGTATAAAAATTCTGATTCGCAGCAGTATATTAACAGGTAGGCAATCTACCTGCGGTGTTTGGAAGTAAGTGTATAATTTAACTCTGATGTACCAAAGTTATACCAAGTTTGTCGTATTCCACCTATGGTGGATTAAAATTATCAATTAATATAAAATCCTAACCTACCCGTACTAAAATCAGATGAAAAAAAACCAAATTTAACCATTTTAAAATTAACATAGGTATATTCTTCCCAAAGGTCTAATCTACACACAAACATTAATTTATATATATGTTGAGGTGAATGTCAACATTTGGTGAATTTTGACATTTTGTAAAAAAAGATGAATAATGACAACATCATTTTTAGAACTTAATTCAGTACTCAAACCGAAAATTATTTTATTTTATATTATAAGTTATTTGTTGCAACAAGATAAACTGTTATGACATTTTGAGTTACCTACATAAAAGTCCTGACGATCTATAACTACACTCCTTCGATACACACTTTGCCTTACAGTTCCATCTCAAGTACCCCTGTTCACCTTTTTGAGAAATTGTAGTGGAAGCTTTCCCTAACGGATTGGTCAGTAGAAATTTTTTCAGTAGATAACAATTGTTCTTTACATACAGCAAATTGATTACAGGTGTATAATTGATTTATTACACCCTCTTTTATGCCTAGTGTGTAAAATTCATTATCGACAGTTACGACAATGGTTGAATTATCAGGAGTCGACACAAATACACTATTCTAGTTATATATTTAAGTGATAGTCTTATTCTGCGATATTGAAGAGGAGGTTCTCATGGACTGGGTCAAGAATTTTGGAGATATTACAATTATAATTTCCATAGCAGATTGATCCGTAGTCTAATTTTGATTTAACTAGTGATCTAACCGTTCGATTAAATAATACACTATAACATTATTGAAAGTTTCTACTCAAACATAATTTGCCCTTCAGTTATTGTGTGAACAATAAGTATCTAGTGAATTTCATACCTATAAACATTCACAATCTTTACGTATGAGTATATGACACGATACACCACACACCAACAAAATATATTGTAAAACGTCTATACTCCAATTTTAACTAAAAATGTCTAACATTCACCAAAACTCTATTGTGAATGTACTTACCGATAATCGTTACGAATGTTGACATTCACCTTAACATAGGTATATATATATATATATTGACAAAAAATAATAATACAAATTAACAAACGTGCCCCATTAACCAATAGCAACCAATACATAATACACACTATTATTATTTTAATCTGCAACAATAAACTACATTTTTTATTATTTAGTTTATTTTTTTTCTGGAAAGATGAACTAAATTGTGTAACAGAACGTAAAACAGAACTATATTATAAAAAGGCTCTTGTCAGAGCCAACAACTCGTATATACAACAGCCAATCACAGTAGAGGACGAACACAACCAATCACAGAACAGATCACAAGCACAACACCGTCTTTTGGACTTTGAAAGGAGTTATAAGTACTTCCGGTCACCAGACAGTCATAAAAAGCACATCAACGAATAGGGGAAGTTAAGACAAAGGCAACAGTACTTTCTCCAGGGCCGTAACCCTAAAAACCACGGAGATATCGTCAAATCAATTATAAGAGAAAACACAACACGCAACCCGGCAGAGAGGAGTTTACTAGTCGGTACGGACAGGAGTACTTGTACTTGTAAGATTCAACAGAAAATCAACTTTCTTCAATCAACATTTCTTCAAAACTTCAACTCAACCACTACGAAGATAGAAGAACCGAAGAAATATCAAAAGGAGTAATCCAGTGAACGACCCATATATCAACGAAGACCGGAAGACGCTGATTCCGATACGCGACAGTCAAGAGCTCCGGTGGACAATAACCGCTACGATCCCGTGTGCAACTCATTTTGAGCATCGCCACAGTTTCGATCGTACGGTTCGACGACGAAGCTGTCGCCGATCCACGGCATTCAATTGCCCAACTGAACGTGAATAAGTACGATCCCGT